TGTGTGTGTGTGTGTGTGTGTGTGTGTGTATTATTCTATATATATAGATAACCAAAAAAGGGGAAATATATTAAGTAAAGCTTTGGTTTACATCTAATATGGGGAATATCCAAAGAGTCCCCATTGAGCAAAACAATTAAGTTTTTGCAAGGAAACTTGCTACAGACAATAAACTATGCTGACAACCATCCTTAGCCAGCCAGTTGGCAGGCCTATTACCTTCCCTAAGATTGTGGCTCAAAATGAAAGATTGAGGCAGCCATAAATACAATCTTTCAAATCCAGATATACAGGAACCATGGACTCCAGATTTCTTGCTGAAGAATCTGAATAAGTTGTAAGGAATCCAGCTCTCTCTCTCTCTCTCTCTCTCTCTCTACACACACACAATTCTCATGTATTTATGTACCTATCACCTAAACTTCGCACTTTGGTGTTTTAAACCTCTGCATCAAATGATGTAATTCAATTTGAAAAAGTGATATTAGTGCCATGTGTTAGGTGATACAAAAAATTTTAGTGCTATGTATGCGAGATGTATAAATACATAAGAATTGTGTGCTATGTATGTAAACACCCACACACACACATATCTATCTATACATATACATATATATAACCTTCCTCATCTCAACTCTCCCGCCATTCATAATATCATAGGTGCTCACAGCCTCACACTAAGCTCCTTTCCCCGCTCGCTGACCACAATGCACACATGAGGAACACGCATGCCTTTACAATCCCAAACATGTCGCAAGAAATGTTGCTAATCTTTAAACACTAATCAAGCAATAACTGATCACGTTAGTTGGTTTTGCATCCTCTTGAATCTCATCCTAGTAATCCTGCAGCTCAAGATGCTCCTCGCTTCCCATTACAAGGTGCTCATGTCTCATTCCCTCCCATCCATGTTACCGAGAGATCATAGGAAAACCCACAACAATGCTTTACCTCAAAGCCCAGCCTCTCTATAATAGTCCCTCTAAAAATGACGGCAAACCACACGTCAATGCCCACATCAAGACACGATCGCATCCCCAACTCCTCAATAAAGCCCCTTCTTTATACCTCTAAGGAGAACCTAGCTGCTTCTATAATAGTCATCATTTCTACAGCAAATGGAATCACGGAAAACAAAAAGAAGGCACCAGATGCTATTAGAAGGAGAGTGACAACTACTTCGAAAAAGATAAAGGATTGTTGCTTAAATAATCAAAGAGACATTGATGTTTAGTCTGGTAAGCTCAAAGACAAAAGAGTTTTTTATCTTTGGTCACGACAACATGAATATCACCTCTTTGTCATCAATCTTTGGTGTAATATGAGATTTCTCCTCCATCCATTGATCATTGTCTGAAACAGAAAGTGATTTTTTCTTATCAACGGCTACATTTGACAAAAATCTAGTAATGGTTCTCAAACCATTGTTAGATAACAGTCATGATAATCGCTTAGCAGCCCTAACGAACATCAGCTGGTTCAATTACTCTAATCATTCACAAAAAAAAACTATTGGTCATGATGAGTTTAGCAGCTTCCCCAATTGGTCATGATGAGTTTAGGAGGTGTTATGATGAGTTTAGGAGGACAAGTAGAAGTGTTACATATGGCATCCACCTCCCACGGAGCCTATGGGTGAATGACATGTGGAATTTCTGTCATATTTTAAGCATTGGAGCGAAATTTCCCTCCAATTTGATTGGTGTCTTCGAGTATTAAGGGACCAATCCGAAAATAGCTGAGGGAAGAGTTCATTTCAACAAAAAGGAGAGCTCATTTGTCCAGGAGACTTCTAGCTAGGGCTGAAGGAAAAGCTTAAAAAGAACTTGGGAAACTAGCACCTTCTTCTTCCTTTTCTTCATCTCCCACTTCATTTCCTCCACCAAAACTCATATTCTCTACATTATAGTGAGGGTGTGTAAGCTTCTTGAGGACTGCATTCAAAAAGGAAAGCTTTCTCTTGCTTTGGACAAGGACAAGGAGCCATCATCTCCTTCCATAATAATAGCCGCAACCATCTTTGGAGAAGGAGGAAGGAGATCCACCGTCTACTTAGGAGATCCACCATCTACTCCTATAAGGAGAGCTTTATCCTTTCATTGGAAGAGGAGAAATGGAAAGCCTCATCTTCTCTCCTACAACGATGAGAGCTTCATCCAACGAGAAGAAATGTGTCATCAATTGTCACGTTGGTGAGATTTATTCAAACCGTTGTATTTATTTTTTTCCTAGAGCCCCTAGGCTGGATGTTAGATATTTAAGGATTAGGGCTTTTGTGCTATAGGGAGGCCTTCTAGGTTATGAAGCTTTCATGGACAAATCTTAGGTGAATCCTGAGTGTTTTCCCCTTGCAAATCCTTAACACCAAAAATCTATCGTCCAAGATACGAATAATCCCACGACTATTCGGCGACCTTAACTCCCGATGAATAGGTTAAGGCCAAATTACAAAAGCTATATCCATAAGAAGAGCTTTCACCTGGTGAAAGTAAAATCTTATGGAAAACCCTTTCACTTTATGCCCATTAGTTGGAGGTAGGGCATTTGTTAGGCATCTACAATTTCATCATGCCAACCCTAGGTTCCCATATGAGTTCAATAGGGCGAGTATGGATTGTTATCTTGCACATTTCTTTGCATTAAATTGCAAATTTCATTATGATGGGTTTTGCATGGAGCATGTTGCACATGCCTTTTGGCGCGGTCGACCCCCATGGCCCAGTAGACATGGCACTTTTTGGTTTCACCGAAGGTCGACCGCCCCAGCACGGTCAACCTTGCACATCAGTTCAATCGGCCACCAGGACCCAAGTTTTTCAAAAAATGATGTAAAATGTTATTTCTCAAAATTCAAATAATAAAAGATTAAGATAATCAAAATTTTAGGATTAAACTTGTCATGATTTTTAAAAATTCTCTTTAATTTCATGCATGGCATTCGCGCCGGCTTTAAAACGAGTTGCATGCATGGTTAGACAACCCATCATGTCTAATAAGGCTTCCATAAAATCTAATGACTGCTCTAGATAACAGCGACATTTGTATATACCCGAGAAGAAGTTCTCAAGCTTCTCCATATATGATTGGCCTAGCATCACTTTTTACTTAGGATGTTGTCTAGAACGAATAGATCGTTAGAAAACTCCTCGACCCATATGGAGTGTAAGTCCTTTTGTAGGAAGAATTTTCAGCTTTGTAGTTGAACCTCCCTTCCTCCTCTTTTCCAGTGGCATCCTCGCCACTTCGGCGGATATAAGTCCCATCTCTTGGAACTACACCTTATAGTCATATGATAGAATTTTGTTTCTTTGACTTTAGAGCTTCGAAGTTTTCGTGAAATGACGCACTTCGTGGATTGTTGATCGAGAATTTCTAGGCATGTTAGGTCGATTATCTTCACGTTCAGTCAGAGTTTGGGTCCTAGTAGCTTGGAATGATAGGAACGTGGTATCCCGACCCGGCTGCCTCTAACTTTTAAGGATATTCCTCCCTTCCTTTGACTACCCTCTTTTGAGCCCTGTCGATCCTTTTGACAAACTGTCAATGTCGTCTCGTAGGTCCCGCATGCCTAAGCGCCGCCGCCCGTAGTGGTTACGGTGATTCATTCTCTCCCTATGGCTCAGTATAGATGTCGAAAGCATCGGGATTCTCACTTGAGATGATTTAAATCCATTAGTTTCCCAAATAACTGGACCTCACTCTCTTGTAAGCAAGATCATTTTTTACCGAAAGTTTTCTTGAGCATCCTCCAAGATGTAATTAACCAAAGGAATACATTCCTTTGAGAGTCCTCTTGACCCAGAACAAGTATTCACACTTAAGTTCTCTGGTTGTGGGTAGTTTTCTTAAGGTTCTCTTCGTAGATATATTTCCAAATTTTTTTTATTTGATCTCGTTTCGGACGTACTTTTTGGAGCTATCCATGCGAAATTCACTTTACAAAAATTTCTCAATGCTCTTCTCTCCTTTGTCTATTTGCCCGTAGTATATCCCTCCGTTCGGTTCCTCTCATCTTCATATCATTCGTTTAATCCGAGAAAGATATTTATTCAAATAAGGGAATAATATGAAGATCATAAATAGACAAGCTGACAACTCGTATAAAAATAAAAGAGAGAAAAATAACAAAAATACTTCCATGCAAGAATGCCTATCAACTAAATTAGAACCAACTCTTGTATTGTAAACCCATCAATCTAGAAACTAATCAACCAAAAAGACCTACACATACCGTAGACATGATCCTATAAGTAAAACTGAAACTCATAGATAACCAATATGTGTACTTCTAAATCATATGTGGCCATGATGTAAATCTCTGTATCATTTATGGTAAGACATTTGTTAGCAAATGTGACAATATTAATCCCAAAAGTACATCTTCAGCACACGCGCTTCCATCTCTGTCTACTTACGAGTTAGGAAATCTAAAAGAAGGAAAATCATGATTGCTAATTAGGCTCCACTCAATGCTATAAATCAAAGTCTTAAGAAGACACGAGATGATAAAAATATGAGTTCTTAATTAAGTTTATATCCATCCCCCCACTAACTAATTATGAGCTTAGTTAATCTAAAGTGCTTTTGCTAAATCAAGAGAAGTGATAGTTAACTCTAGAGGCTTACACGAATATGAAATATCAAAGAATTTCGGTTAAACAAATTAATCTACCTCAAGAAAAACCACTTTTGAGTTTTGAGCTTCACTCATGAGGAAAGGTGCGTTGTCCTAAGCTCTCAATCGCTTTATTAAATAGTGATAATGATGGTAACGTTATAATTAAGGTTTAAATAATACTTCAAAAGAATTATTCATATTTAACTATAAATTAAATAGACTAGTTTGTGATAATCGAATATATGCTGATTATTTTTTCATTTTTAATTGACACAACTATGTTATACCCTATTTCTATAAAAATAAAAGTAGGTGGATCATCCATAAATGTTTTGTTTTAAGTGGCACTAAAAATAAAGCAAAAGAAAACAAGATCCAAACAAGGCCTTAGGATTCAATATGAGAACCATTTATAAAACATATAATCATAAACCCATAATTAGATTGCTCTTCAAAAATAATAAGAGAAGCACAGCTCAAACATGATGTCAGACATCTTCATTCAACCTGAAAAGTTTGTCAGCACGAGTAGTACTACAAGCAATCAAAATGCAAAAGGACTTTTCCAGTGTAAGATACATGTTGAGAACGCCTCAAAAGATCTATACATATAGGGTTCATATCATAAAAAACAAAAAATCAAGTTGAAGAAAATCACAACGGAGATTTTACTGCATTATCTCAAGAAGTTCCCCGAATGCTCTCACGCAATGAATGGATACTGGTCTTTCTAATTCCTTAGCAAGTTCAAGTTGTTGCCGGAAGACTTCAACCTGGAAAAAAACATCAAGTCAAGAATCAAACTTTTCTATTTGTAAACCAAAAATTCAAGTTTTAATTAGAACAGAAGATTCAATATGAGTGTCTTCATAAAATTAAATATTAAACAGATCCTTCTTATGGTTTTATTGTTGAGTTTAGAATATTTGGCAGTAATAGAGCAGGATAGAAGAGCCATGGACATCAATATATTTAGAAAGAATTGCATTTAGACAAGAAAAACTACTCCATAAACACAAAAAGAAGATTTCCAGCAGAATAAACAATAAGATGCTGACCTGTTGAGAGAATTCAATATTCCTCCCATGTGAACCCTTATCCAGGCCAATCTGTAAGTTGTAAAAAAATTTTGTATACTGAATATCAAAACTTGATGCAATCAAAGAAAACTATAATTTAAATTATTTTTCTCAAAGTTTTAGCTTAACCAAATGTGAGTAAAAAACTGTACAAATGTGAAATCAAATGAAATTAAGTATCATATAATAAATTCGACATTAAACCCTCTAGGCATATAGGATGTGCAAACCGATAAGCCTCAAATAATAATTTAAGTTCAGAGTCCATTCTTCATGAGATTAATTTTAGTTCAACTAGGATGGATTGATATTAGTTCAGCAAAATTTCCCCTGATGTTAGGATCAGGGTTTTTTTAAATCTAAGGTCTAAACTTTCCATGGGTGCAAGCCCCCTTATTAAATTAACTCTCCCACATGCATGAAAAGTGCTCTATACTAAGAATGGTTTCTTACATTTAATTTTAGGTTACACTTAATATTTGAGTTTTAATTGGAATAATGGGGGATTTTTGCGGAATGGAGGTAGACCCAATCTATCTGCCAATAGTTACTTATGCAATCCCAAGTTCAGTCATTTCAGGAATACTAGTAGTCTCGATCTGCCAATGTTTTTGAAAAAATATTATTTATATTATTTTTTGTATCATTAATATAATTAAGCACTTACAAATTTAACATTCTTATAAATAGATGAAATATTTTTAATTTCATATAATGCATGTCCTCAATTAGTTTTTCAAGTATAGTCACATATAAACTTTATGAGCATAAATTATATAAACTATACGAGCATAAATTATAATTATTTAATTATGATTATAATAAGTCATATGTGTCTAAAAGTTAGAATATATAATTTTCTTCTAAAAAAATAAAATGAGTGGCTGTTTTGGTGACTGTTTTGGAAACTTCATTGATGTCTTTGTTTAAGGAACTTATATATGCCTTTTCTGACATGACTATCATTAATTACATTGTGTTCTATATTATTCTATTAATTGTCGTAACACAAAATTTACATTCATATCTTATCATATCATGAAACCATATTGATTCCACAAAACCAATATAGTATTTCAAAGTTTCGATTCAACTGCTCTCTCCCAGAAGTTCATTAAAAGACTTATACATCTGATTCTTCTATATTAACACAATCTTTAGCACCAACTTTTCCTAACATGTTGATACAAAAAACTGTCCAGTGCTCTCTCCAGTAAATTCATTAAAGCACTTTTACATCTGATTCTTCTATATTAACACAATCTTTAGCATCTCCTTCTCCTGACATACTGGTAATAAATATTGTCCAATCATTAGGCACTTGTTGTATATCAAACCACTGCAATATACTTAATATCTCTCCATATCTTATAATATATTTCATTTGGAACTAAAGCATTTCATGTACGCATCATTTTATATCAAGCTTCATTTTTTTTTCTTTTTTAGCGTCAATCTACAATAAAACTTATATTTTTTTATGTTGTTCTTACAAGGATAACTTCTTCCTATGAAAGAAAAGAAAAGAAAAAAAAATTACCTCCTAAAACTTCTCAATTCAATTTTTCATAAAGTAGCATTTACATATTTAGTCTGTACTATAATCTTTAATTTTCTTGAGCAACTAAAATTACAGAAATGATTATGATTGGTGAATTACACAAATGATTACAATTTCTTAAATAACTAAAATTACAGAAATAATTACAGTTGGTGAATTGGAGAATAATAAGGGATGAAATCAAGAAGGTGTCATCAATATTTGAGTGAACAGGCTCCCCTCTTTTCCTTTGTTTTCATTCCAAATAATAATAGTCTGTACAATCTATTTTGAGTACAAAATAAAGTGCACAATCTAATTTAGATAGCTTAATAATGCATATTCCTAATCTAAATATTCAGCTAAAAAGAAATAATACATGCTACGATCTTTGAGTGCAACGATCTAGGAAGGATTTCGGCGCTGAAATACGTCAACTATCCTTGGGTGTCAAAGCTCTAGGAAGGATCTTGACGCTGAAATACATCGACTATACTTGAGTATCAAAGCCGAAGATAAAGCCAAAGTTGACGAGGACGAAGCGAACGAAGTGAACGAAGTGAAAGAGATCGTAGATTGCGGATGAGACTTGGATCGCAGACGAGATAACCGATTGTAGGATTGCGGAGGAGAAAACAAATGGACAGGATCGTAGATCGCTGCTAGAACCAAACGCAGGAGACGAAACTAGGCAGAAGCAATGAAGGCTAGCGAAGCCAATGATGACGTTTGGATGAAACCGAAGTGGACGAAGCGAGGCAAAACAGTAGAACAGGCAAAGCAATCGAAGGCGAGCGATTCCGAAGGCTGGCGACAAAGCAGTCGAAGGAGGTCGAAGCAAACGCAATCAAAGGCGAAGAAAAAATGGCGAACGAAGGCAGACGAAGCAGTCTAAGGAGGTCGAAGATGTTAGAAGCAGTTGATGAAGATGGAATGAGCTCGAGTGAAGATCAAATGTGCTCTCAGGTCGAGCTATAAGCCAGAGAAAAGGTCCTCGGCCTTCTGTTGGCTCGGGAGAAGATCAGACAAGGTAGGGCATAAAAGTTCAGCGGCAAGGAAGATCGCGTGCAAGGAGTACAAGATGGATCGTGCAAAGGATCGCAACAGGTTAGGCTGTGATTCGACGATCTGGTGGGGTAAGGCAGAATGAAGGCTTCCGGCGTGAAGAGTGAAACGAGCGGTGAAGTCAGGGATGAGCAATAAGCGGAGGAAGCAGAGGAAGGCTCAGGATTGTGTGGGCTCGAGTCGCGTGAGGAGAGGAACAACAACAATCTCGGAGCAGGGAGCCAATCAACGTGCAGGATTTCGAACCCGAGAAGTGTGAAGATTGCATGAGCTCGAGTAGAAGATGGAGACAAACAATTCCAAAGGCAGGCAATGACCAAAGATTCAGATCGGAACAATTAGACATGGCTCTGATACCATGTTAATATTTGAGTGAATAGGCTCCCCTCTTTTCCTTTGCTTTCATTCCAATAAATAATAGTTTGTACAATCTATTTTAGGTACATAATAAAATGCACAATCTAATTTAGGTAGCTTAATAATACATATTCCTAATTTAAATATTCAACTAAAAGGAAATAATCTGTGCAATTAAAATAAGAAATTTAATGCAGCGCAAAGAAGAAACTCTTAATTATGTCTGATTTTTGTGATTCTGGATTGATAAATACATTAATGTGTGTCGGACATACACGACGGGGAGACATTTAAGTTCTCTTTGTAGTTTTGTTAGCATAAATGATGCCACTTGTGTTATTTTACAAGAATTTATTAGAGAAAAAAATTCATCAAGACAAAATAGTGAAAATGATAGAGCTTATGATGTAATGATCTTGTTTGATTTTATTTTAATTTTGCATCTTATTATAGAGATTTTAAAAATTATATATAAGCGTTACGAATAAATCATAGCATGTCCTGATGTAATGCATTTGGTGTCAACAAGAAAACAACTTTAAAAATTGAGAGAGAGAAAATTATTTTTTAATCCAAAAGCTGAAACTACTTTGTAGGAGGTGATGTAAATAAATTTCAAATATCAATACGCTCTATTCAAGAGGTTAAACGTCATAAAAAATTTTATCCAAGAGATAATTGTTAAATTGTAAATAAATTTTATCTAAAGACGTCATAGATAAGAAAAATATATTCTTAAAATTCAATTACAAGTATTTTGAAATTGAAATTCATTGAAAGAAGGTGTTTTAAAATCTCTCCACAATTTTCAATTTATGTCAAATAAATAAGAAGACAAGAAAATCAATCATATATCATCTTATTACTCGATTGATTGAAATGATCTTAACTCTCATCTATTTCAACAACAACAAACTTAACATGTACTTTCAACAATAAATTTATCTAAATAAAACTGAAAAATACAACAAAATATTGTCATATAATTAATGGGAGCACTCAAAAGACACAAATATAATTATTTTTATGAGTAAACTTCAATATATTAAGATTTGAGATGTTCATGAAGAAACTAATATATTATGAAAAAGAGTATCGAGCACTATTAAATAAGTTGCAAAAGATGCACTTGAAAAATCAAAAAGAAAAGGTTTTATAAATCAAAATAATTTGTGATGGAATAATAATAAATGAAGAAAAGATAAAATATAAAAAATTTTGTTATAAAAAATTAGAGAATTGAAAAAGCCATAAAATGTTTTTTCTTAGATTTCTAAAGAGATAATAAAAATAAAGATTTAATTCAAGTAGAGCTATGAAGGAAGATAGCCATAAAATGTTTTTTCTTAGATAATGATATTTAATAAACCTTTTAATGAAGATTTTGAAAATATGATTAATTTTAGTAATCTTAATATATTTAATAAAAAAAATTATTTTTATTGTCGCATTAACAAAACATAAGTTCGGTAAGCTTTAAAAAAAATAAAGTGTGAAAAATAAATAAAACCTTATGATATCCAAATAGAAGTGTAGAGATGTTTAGAGGCTATAGGAATTTATTGACTTACAAAATTTATTAATATTATTTTAAAAACTAAAAAAAAGTTTGAGTGGAGGAAAATTTTATATGATGGTGGAGGAGGCTTTAAAGAGAAGCAATGGTGGAAAATCAGTAGAACCTTGTGATATTCCAATTGAAGTGTAGAAATACTTAAGGAATTTGGGAGTTATACATCAGAGATCGGCTTTATGTTGGGCAAGTCTACAATGGAAGCTATACATTTATTGAGGGTAAGAAGGATCTACATATGATTTTTATTGATTTAGAAAATTTAGAAAAAGCTTGATTGATTTAGAAAAAGCTTGTGATAAGGTTCCAAGAGAAATCCTTTGGAGAGTTTTAGAGAAGAAATGTGTTGATATGACTTATATTCAAGTCTTTAAGGATATGTATAGTAGAAATAATTGTATAAAAATATGACTTAATCTATTAGAATTAAATGAAAATATCACCCTCAATATCACACCATGGAGAAAAAGGATTCATGTAGCCGACCCCACTTCGTGGGATATAAAGACTTTGTTGTTGTTGTTGCTGTTGTTGTTGTTTCTTTTCATCACCCCTCTCTTTAAATCCTGGAAATTCTCGTTCCAGACCATTGCAAGCAACATTATTACATAAAACCTTCTGCACCTAAAATGGCACAGATGAGATGAAATCAAGTTCTCATATCGATACCTCACCAACAGCAGCGGAAGGTGTCATTGCAAAGAACTCCCGCAATAATGCCATCCATTCAGGCGACCTCTCAGCAACAAACCTGTTCATCCCTTATAAGCATATGCAAATTCACTCCCATATATATATACAGAAGTTTCCAAATATTTATCAGACACTCATGAGAGCTACTACTCACCATGGATGAAGACCAAAGCACGGAATCACTGAAGGATATTGCTCGCCCATCTGCTTAACAATGTGCCAATCTTTCTGCATATACATCGATGTGCTCATATAAAGGAATGATTGCACAAGAAAAGCAAACCCTAGCCGTAATAGTTCATTCAAGGCCACCGGGGTACCTCGGAAACGCCATTCACGGAGAAACGGAGAACGCCGGATTCGATGGCCGTGCGTATGATCTGCGGCGTGACGGCGGCTATCCTTCGGTCTTGGAGATGGCAGTGCGCGTCGAATAGCCTTACCACTGCCGGAGCTTTTCCTCCTGCGCTCATCTTCTCTCGCTCTCTAACTCTCTCAATTCCCCCTCAAGAAACACTCAATAATTGTCGTGGTAAATGGAAAATGTGAACTAACTGGGCCAAGTTTTTGGGCTTATTAAGTTCCAAGGCCCAAACCCATTCTAACATGCAAGTTTTGATCACGTGTACATATTTGCATGGACATATATTTTCTTATACGAGCAAGTACTTATATTAAGTAATTAATTACCTCTTTGATTTCATATGCGTTTGATAAGGGGTCCTAAGAACCTATAACATGTTATTTCTTCTAATCAAGTTAAGTTTATGCACTCTAAACTTTAAATTTTGTGCTTAAATGTGTAGCATCTTATTTGGAAATAAGAAGAATCACACCAAATTGGATTCGAGCACTTTTCTTATCCAAAAAAAAAACAACTTATAATTATAATAAACTTGTCATATTAAGTTTAATGATATTCTATACTCCCTCAAGTATTTTTTTTCAAAAAAATTTTTCGAAAAAATATAGATAATATGAATATAAATATTGAATTTTTTTAGGATGTTGGGTCCCGGTGTCTCGTATTGATTGTGGGTTCACATAACAGGTTGAAGTCTATGTATGAAAGTTGAAGGATGAGAATAGATGTGTTCTTCAGGCCTGAACTATATGTTCTTACAATGATCCTTTCCTGAAAGAATGAAAAAGATGATTGAACGAGGAAGAAAGAATGAGAAAGGAAACAAAAGAAGGAAGGGTCCCTTTTTTGGATCTCTTTTCCCTCTATCTATACATATTCAAGAAAATATTAAAATATGAGATGCAGTGTCCACAATGTCTTGATGGAAAGATTGCGACGTAGAAGTCAGTCGGCTCATAAATGAATATGTCATATATCAATACTTAATGTTTGTATTAATTTTTCCCATTTTGTCAATTTCAATAATTACTGCTGAGACGAGCTCGGTGGATGAATATGATTGATCAATCTGTTAGTTGAATTAGGCCAGTTAATCCGACAGTACAGGACAACCGGCACATCGACAAATGAGTCAGCGAGCCACCTAACTAGATTCATTCAGCGATGGTTGCATCTTCTTAGTAGATAAATTTACCAACCCATGAGGCATGTTAGATGCATACTTTGGCCCACAAAAATTGATTTTTGATGTACAATAACTACACATAATTAAGATGAATCTATATTAGGCCAAATTAAAATTGGACAAATTTCGTGTGATTTCTGAAAATATTTTCTTCTCAGCCCTACCTCATCATGACATTTTTACAATAAAAAGGCTTTTAAAATATAATTTCTACTTTTTTTGACAAATAATCATATATATATATATATATATTGGGAAACAAATTGGATTTATGAATCAAATAACGATCATGACGTCCATATCAGTTGGTGTCAGCACCACCGACCGTAGTTCGTATTTCCCTGCGCCTGCGCGTGCTAACGGCGACGTGTTTGGTTGGACTATGTCCAACTAAAGTTTAATGCCAACCATTAAACAATTAAATTAGTAAAAAGTATTTATTTAATTAATTAATCCAACTAAAGTTTAATGCCAACCATTAAACAATTATATTAGTAAAAATTATTTATTTATTTATTATTTTTCTAAGGAATCAAGTGCCGTAGCTGGCAACAAATTTTCATTCGATTTTTTGTTAATTTATTATTGCATGAGGACGATACCATACATAATAAAAGCACAGTTTTTAATTAGAAAAGGATTTAAAAAAGAGATTTGTGAATAGGTTTTGCTCTCAATCATTATGTCATCAATGGAGTTTGTTGAGTGTGAATAATGATGATCTTTAATATCAAATGGAATTTATGTTGATGACTCATTTAATTTATTGAATATTATGTTTGGTGCATGATTATTTGGTAGATGATATCTACGAGAGAGCTCAAATTGTTACATAAAGTTTAGAACGAACATATGAATTGAATATGTTAACTCAAGATTTATATCGAATCAAAATGCCTATAAGACAACAACAAAACCTTTATCCCAGTTAGTGGGGTCGGCTACATGAATCATTTTTCTCCATTATGTCCTCTTTAGTGTCATTCTTCATTTAATTCTAATAAATTAAGATCATTTTTGTATACAATATGCTCAAGTCTTCCTAGATCTATCCTTCTAAAATATATACTCTCCTAATTGGATCATCGGATGGTCGACGTTTAATGTGACCAAACCATCTAAGATGACTCTCTCTAATTTTGTCTGTCACTGGAGTTGCACCAAACCTAACACTGTCATTGCCGGATTCGGATGTGAAAAGTGAAGGGTTGCATTAGGTAGGCGACAACCAACATAAAACTTGTCGAAAAATCATAACAACAAAATGCCTATAAATTAAGA